TGGAATGATTGTACAGTGCTTTTCCTTAAGGAATGATGTCAGATAAAAATATTCTCAGATTAGTGAAAACCCAAAGGGGTGATATTCACAAGAACGTCACTGAAAGAATTACTAAAGGAAGTTATTCAGACAGAAGGGAAATAATACCAGAGGAAATTTGTAAAATCAGGAGTGAAGGAAGGGAACAGCAATAGTAAACATAGTAGGTTATCTTTCTTCTACAAAGTTTAAAGAATTCTCTTGATCAAAGAGAAAGTCTCAAGGGAAATCAATGAATACTTGAATCAGATCAAAATCAAAATGTAATTGTAAGATGTGTGAAATGTAGCTCAGGTTGTGCTTAAATGCTTCTATTAGAAAATAAGGAAGTTCTCAAATTAATAATTTAAACTTCAACCTTAAGAAAATGGAAAAAGAATAGAAAAGGAACCCAAATCATGTAGATGAATGAAAATAAGAAAGAATACTAATCAATGAAATTGAAAAGAGAAAAGCAAGATAGAAAAATCAATGTAACCAAATGCTAGTTCTTTAAAAAATAATTAAAATAATAGGCCTCTAGCAATATTGACAAAGAAAACTAAAGGGAAGATAGAAATTAGAAATATAAATAATAAAATATCAGAAGCAAAAGATGTCAGCTCTTACCATTTCTATGCAACATTTTATTGACAGTCTTAGTGCAAAAAAGAAAAAAAAAAGGTTGAAAAGGAAGAAGTAAAACTTTCTTTATATTTGAAACATAATGTTGCCATAAAAATGCCTTTGGAATCTACCAAAACAAAACAAAACCTACTTGAAATATGCTGTGAGGTAACTCAATCAGAAGAAGACAAATACCATACAATTTCACTCATATGTGGAATTTAAGAAACAAAACAGAAGATATGGAGAGGGGGAAGAGAAATGAGAAGGGAAATAAACCACAAGAGGCTCTTAACAGAGAACAAACTGAAGGTTGATGGAAGAAGGTGTGTGGGGGAGGGGCTAGATGGGGAATGGACATGAAGGAGGGCACCTGTTCAGATGAGAACTAGCTGTTGCATGTAAGTGATGGATCACTGGACTCTATTCCTGAAGCCATACTGCACTGTATGTTACTAACAAGAAATAAAAAGACAAGACAAGAAGGAAAGGAAGGAAAGAAGGAAGGAAGGAAGGAAGGAAGGAAGGAAGGAAGGAAGGAAGGAAGGAAGGGGAAAAGGAAGAAAGGCAGACACTAGTAAGAAAAATTAACAAGAGGACACCCAAAGAAAGTTGCTTAGGTCATACAGACAAACTGTATTTGGAACTGATGTCTTTGAGAGATAAGACTTCCATTGATAGTCTGAAAATTTTGATGTTGGTGAATCTTCACAAGAAGGACAAGTGAAAAGAGCTACACGCACCCTCATGTTAGATGCGTTAACTGATGGATGCCAGGAACTGTGGCATTTCTTAATTGTATGCAGAAAGGCACGCATTTTCTATTTCTAAGAGTTGGAGAGGTGTTTTTTTTTTTTTTAAATCTAACCAGAAAATAAGATGTTCTCATCTTAAAACTCGAGGTTTGGTGAGATAATACACAAATTCATTGATTCCCTTCTTCCAGACCCCACACCTTATGCTGTAGGTAAAGGAGTAGACTATGGGCTCACTTCCAGGAAGTTGTGAACTTGGTTAGGCAAAGAGCCTAAACCCCTGACCAACTAAATAACATATGTTGCATACCTGTATTGTCTTATTTTTTTAACTTTTTTTTACTCATTTTTTGAGAAACAGACACAGAGTGCAAGTGGGAGAGGGGGGAAAAGAGGAGAGAGAGAATCCCAAGCAGGCTCCTCACTGACAGCACAGAGCCTGAGGTGGGGCTCGAACCCACAAACCACCAGATCATGACCTGAGCCAAAGTCAGACACTTAACTGACTGAGCCACCCAGGCACCCCTGTATTGTTATCTTTTAAATGTATGTGCTTGAGACTAATATAAAATTAGTTCATTAAAATATGTTACTGGGGAAAAAAAGAAAAATTAACAAGCTTTCAGTAGATAATATTATTACACAAAATCATTTGTGTTCCTGTATTTCTATACACCAGCAACAAACAGCTGCAAAATCAAATTTAAAGAAGAGAACCAGAAGCAAGAGCATAAACACAAACCATAAAATATTTTGGAATGAATTTCACCAAAACGACATGGAAGCATCTCCACACTGAAGACTAGAAATCAGTGCTGAAGAATTTAAAAAGCACAAGTAAATGGAGAGATAAAACATGCTAATGTGCATCACGTAACCTAAACTGGGATGACCTGGATCCCAAGGGGATAGACATTGGCTCTTGGGATACAAAAAAATTCTTAGATGTCACAATGACTCATGTCCCTCCAAAGGCCACAGTCCATGAACAACTACACAGTATATCTGAGATATGAAAATGTCATGGGGATGGGATGATTAGGGGGGAATAGGATAAAGCCTCCTTGGGATAATTTCAAAAGATCAGGAAACACTGCTCTATATAAAGTCTCTCCAAATTGATCTATACTTTCAATGCTTATAAAACTCCAGCAGGTTTTTGAGTAGAAATTGATAAATTGGTTTTAAAATTGATTTGTAAATACAAAGATACTTGGAATGACCCAAACATTCTTGAAAAAGAACAAATTGGAGTATTTAAACACCGACCTCAAGACTAACTACAGAGCTACAGTAAGCCTGACCTGACTATGTGGGGTCAGTAGATGAATAGATCATGGGGCCAAAAATAGAAGAACTTGCGTGGGAGAGAAAGAGTGAAAATCAGCTTGAAATGATGAAGGAGAAAGCAGCCTTGCCATTATTCATGCCGAAGGGCAGACACGGATATGCCACCTGCAAAGTCAGCAGGGCATACAGGAGCATTTCAGGGGACGGCTGCTTTCTTCTCAGGAGCACCCAGATTTACTATGCCATCTCTGGCTGGGGCACCTAACTGCTAAACAGGCCTGGCCACAGGAGAGCACCGAGCCTCTTGTAAATTCCTGCTTCTCCCAAACCCTTCTCCACAGCCACCCCATTTAGAAATCACCCCCGCTTCCCATAGACCCTGCTCAGATTTCTTCAGATGGGAACCACACCTTACCAATGACACTTGCTTCCTTTCTGTGGTCAAGTGTGATGCATACTGGTTGCTCTGGAGGGCCCTCCCTCACTGCAAATCAGTAAATCTGATTTTTGTCAGACTACAGGTTACACCTGGTGGTCTTTGGCTGGCTAAGCTTAAATAGAAAAACATAAAGCATCCACATAGAACAAGATATATGTGCCTGATTAACTTTTACCAAGGTGTCAAGATAATGCAAGGTGGAAATGGTAGTCTTTTCTGCAAGGTGTGTGGCAATAACGCAACAAAACACAAGTATGTTTTCAGAACAAAAATAATAACCCTCAACATTACATCAACAATTAATTTGAGTTGGATCATAGACCTAAATATAAAAGCTACAGGAAAGTACTTTGTGGTTCTATGGTGGGTGAAGATGTCTTAGAGTACAAAAACCCAAAGAACTAACAGTCAAGGAAAGAAAAATATGATGACCAATTGGAATTCATCAAAAGTAAACATCTTTGCTTTTTAAAAGACACTATAAAGGAAAATGGAAAGCAAGCCGTAGACGAGGAATTGGATGAAATAACTGGGAATATGAATCCTGAGCCCTGAGTGGGGAAGGGTTATTCAGAGTTTCTAAAGGAGATAAGGTTGTAAGAAGACAGTTGCTAGAACACCAAACACACAGGCTGCAGACAGTCGTCAGATGAAGACAGGGGGTCTGCACAGAGGCACGGTAGGAGAGGGCCGCAGAAGGGACAGGTGCGCAGGGACAGGTGGCCAGCACAGGCACTCCGCCAACACCAGACAGGACACAGATGGGGAATCAGGACACCGGCTAGAGGCGTGAGCCACTCATAGGAGCAGGAGAAAGGTGAGGGATGGTGGCCCCTCCACCCTGAGCCTCTTCTCCCCACCTGCCAGCCCCCTACTCCCTACGTTGCAAGCGGCTTCTTCTCCCCACCTCCAAGCCTCTGTCCTTATCTGTCATTTTCTCTCCCTTTCCTGTATTTCTTTCCTGCACCATTTTGCCTGTCCACGTGTCTTGCCTTCATGTCTGTCCCCTACATGGTGATAACACAGAAAAAGCAGAAACTTAGTACCTTCACTTTTAACACATGTAATTCCTACTGTCTTGTCTAACTATAGCTACTATGCAGCAAAGAGTTTCTATTCCCCCCAAATCTGCAGTTACCTTTCTGTATACTTTTCTCTGATTCTGTGTTCTAAACTTTAGATAAAGATTTCCTGAATTCAAAGTACCTTACAACATAGCGAACTGCCGTGGGGGCTTATTTCTAGAAAAATTCCTTTAGCATATCCCGCTTCTGGGACAGAGTAAGGAATATAAACTGGAATTGAGAAACCATGACTACCTTCTTTCCAGCATGAATATGAATGGTCACGGACCCATGCAGCTGGTGGCTCACACAGCACTGTCAAAACCGCTGTAATGTGAACTCAGTGCCCTGGTTACAACGCTTTCTTAAGAAGAACCTAATACAGAAAGAAGAGCCAAAAGCATGACTTAAGTAATAGGAAGAGAAATATAACGAACACATAAGGAGCATTAGGAGAAAGCGTTTCACATTCCTCAACATGTAAGAGGTCGTGCAAAAAGGAAGGAAGTACCAGGACGTGATGTCCACCAAGCACCTATTGCGTGAAAGAGTGGCATCGTCTTTAGGATGAAGGATTTGGGGATGGACAGTCTCGCGAAGAAGAAAAGATCTAAAAAGAGCAACATCCATGTCTCTCCCACAGGACTAGCTGAAGCTCAAGAATACGGTCACTAAGGCTTCAGTGTGTCAGCTGGTCACTCTCTGTCCCCAGGCTGCAGTGAACTTGTAGGTTGAGTTTCAGTACAGACAGCTGCTGGAAAAAGCTAATTATCTGATACAAAAATATTGGTTACAGGTGAGTGAAAGTTACATCTCCAAAGAAGGGATTGGTGGCTTCCACCTTCTCCCCAACACCTTCACGGCCCCTTTGATGTCCTTATTCCTCAGTGTGTAAATTACAGGGTTTAGCATGGGGGTAATGACACTGTATAACACAGAGATTAGTCTGTCTTTCTCCAGCGAGTATGTTGAGATGGGCCGCACATATGTGAAGATGGCGCTGCCGTAGTACAGAAGGACAATGACCAGGTGCGAGGCACAGGTGGCAAATGCCTTTTGCCTCCCCTCTGAGGAGCGGATCCTCAAGATGGTAGAGATAATATAGAGGTAGGAGAGGACGATACCCAAGAAAGGCGCCCACCCAATGAAGACCCCAATGGACAGCAATGCCAACTCATTGACAGAAGTGTCCCCACAAGACAACAGCAGCAAAGGGGGGATGTCACAGAAGAAATACTGAATCTGGTTGTTGCCACAGAAGGGCAGGTGGAAGGTCAGTGCTGTGTGCACCACTGAGTTGAGGAAACCCCCAGTCCAACACGAGGCGGCTAAGCGGCCATACTGGGCCCTGTTCATAATCACTGAGTACCGCAGAGGTTTGCAGATTGCAACGTAACGGTCATACGCCATGGCCCCCAGGAGGAGACACTCTGATCCCACGAAGAAAATAAATGCAAAAAGCTGTGCCATGCAACCCAAATAGGAAATGCTCTTCTTCGCTGACAGGAGATGCACCATCATCTGGGGGACGTTGGTGGTGGTGTAGCAGATGTCAAGAAAGGCCAAATTCCTCAGAAAATGATACATGGGGGTGTGTAGATGTGGATCAGCCACAGTCACCAGGATAATGAAGATATTTCCTCCCAAAGTACAGATATAGGTCAGAAAGAAGATGGTGAAAAGTAAAAATTGTAAATCAGTTAGATCAGAGAATCCCAAAATGATGAATTCAGACAGAACTGTTTGATTCTTTCCTTCCATGCCGCTGCCTGGTTTCCTTTTGGGGATTGGGCAAAAAGAAACACTGACTGCAGTAATCATGTACTGCAGCAGCAATGGTCTGCAAAACAAGAGAAGAGTGTTACAGAGGACAGTCATCCCAATGACTTCAGATTCCAGCCCAGAACGGCAGCGTCCTCCAGAGCTCAAACCTACCACCACACACAGGCATAAGTGTATCCAGTGTTTCCCTTGTAAATAAAACCTCAAACATACACAACACAGACAGCATTTAATTAGAAAAAAAACACCATAAGGGGCACCATACATCCTAAGAGCCCTGTGTTAACAGTAACGGGTCAGGTCCACCTGCATCGTCTCAGTGAGCTGTGAACACAGTGTGTGCAAGTCTCCAGACAAAACCCTTCATTTCTCCACTAAAACCCTTTACTGGTGATTTGGGTTGTGTCCTCCTAAGCAATTTTCGGTGCATAAATATTTTTTAAAAACATTTATTTATTTTGAGAGACGGAGACAGAGCATGCGTGGGTGAGGGGCAGAGAGAGGGACATAGAATCCAAAGCAGGCTCCAGGCTCTGAGCTTTCAGCACAGAGCCTGATGCGAGGCTCAGACCCACAATCTTGAGATCGTGACCTGAGCCGAAGTCAGACGCCTACCCAACTGAGCCAGCCAGGCGGCCCACGGTGCATAAATATTTAAAACAAGGCTCAGAAAGTATATGTTCTAACCTGCTTTTTCTTCAAACGCCATATTGTCATGATTTCCCAGGAGTATAAATATTCTCCCGAATCATGATATTTGAGTTATATACAGGTCTTCATATGAATACAGCAAACTTTTCATATACCCACCCTTATTAATGGATATTTATATTGTTTTCTTTATTTAATTTGTTATGATAAGCTTTAGTAATAAGCACACTGAATTAGAATACGTGAATTTTGGGTTAGGTTACCTATATTTTAAAAAACTTTCCAAGAGATTCATTCCAATAAATTAGAGACTGGGTGATCTGAAAATTTGAAGAGCCATTTGGCTAATACAGGATTCAGCATCCATACGGACAGTCACCACAGGAGCCACGTGGAGGGGGTCTTGTGCCCATGTGGACAGTCACAGCAGGACCCACATGGAGGGGGCACTCGTGCCCACACGGACAGTCACGTTCCAGTTTCTAGATGAAAACACTGAGTCTCAGCGAAATAAATGTCTGGCAGAGTTATATAGCCATTGGGTGGAGAAGAAAGACAGTTTTATCTTTCTCGAGCTAATATACTTTCAACTGAGTGTCTAAAAATTAATTTCCCTTAACTGATGAGAACACAATGTTCTCTAAAAATACTTTTAGTGTGGTTTATATTCATACACTTGGATTATTTATTAGTTTCAAACTTTTTATGGCTTGTATCTGTATTAATGGTGATATACTATCTGTAGTGTCTTGATGATTGAATCTAACTGGTACTAATCATCTGGTCTTTTACTTGAATATGTTTATTTGAACACTGGCTCTCAGTAGAGTTGTTATTTCCTGGCCCAGCTGTACATTAATTTAATGTTTGTAATCATGCTATTAAAGAATACTGTTCTAGACTTTGTCAGTTAATAAAAGCCCTTGGTAAAATTCAAATGGTTACACAAAGAATCCCTTAGTTCAAAAGGCTCAAGTTCTAATTCAAGAATTAGTTTTGCAGTTTGATATCAGAAGCAAATTATAGGATCTAAAGAGAGAAGTAAACTGTTGAGGAATGAAGGGGGTACTGGGTCTTTATTCAAACAGCACTGCTTCGGCCATCCTGTGCCCGCGTGCCAGGTTGCTGGTGCTATTGTTTTCACTGCAGGCTCCTCTCCCTGTGAACTACTCTGGACATTTCCAGAAGAGTGAGAACACGCCAGATAAAGGCTTAAATTTCCCTGAAGTCTCCAGGACAACTTTGTTCCATCAACAAAAGAATCCCTAAGCCCTGGTCCCTAGTCTGTCTTTTCTCTCATCCCTAAACTCTGCCTCACTTATTTTTGTAGCTCTGCCTCCTACTTCTGAGGATAAATTAGACCAACCTGCTAGGCTAACCCACCCTGCTCATTTTATTCAACAACTGTGTTTTGAGAAACTACTCTCTGCCGGGCCTGGTGGTTTGTGGTAAAAATGAAAAGATGAACAAAGCAGAATTTGACCATACCTTCAGGAGAATGCATATTGGGGTTATAAATTTACCAGAGTTTTTTAAAAATATATTAAAAACTGTAATAATTGATTTAAAGGAAAACAGCATAGGGTCCACCCTGGTCCAGAGATGTCATCAAAAAACTTCCCTGAGAAAACATGGATTGAAATGTCAGGTATGAGCAGGGGTTAGGCCGGTCAAGGTGACTTGGGTGTGAAGTCTGGAGGCTGGAGGCAGCATGAAGCTGGGAGGCCCAGGAGACCAGAATGAGGGGGAGGGCCAGGAGGGCCAGGAGGCGCTCTGGTGGGGTTGGAGTCATTCAGGATCTAACGGCAGAAGGAGAATATTTCAGGGACCAGAGATGTCCATGTTCCAGAAGGCCCTTCTGGCCGCTGAATGGACAATGGACTGGAAGGGGGAGTAGTGGACAGAACAAGGTCACTGTTTCAGTTGTCCAGATAGGAGGTGATAGTATTTCAGACTATACTGGTAAGGACTGAGTCAGAGGAAAAAGAGGCAGTGGAGGGATATCAGGAGACACAATTTGTGAATTTGGGATACAAAGTGAGGAAGACAGTGAATTAGGAACAATAATCGCCATGGACATACATGGACTGACCAGTGGCTCCACAAGCCTTAAAGCCTCCCATTCTGACACCAAACACAAAAGCCCATGAAATAGCACATCATGCCCATGTTACAAGCCCACATTTAAAAAAAAATAAGCTTCAGAGAGATTAAATAATTTGCCTAAAGTTACACAGATATACATTTCAGTTAGCGACCTTGAGGACTGTGCTGTGCTGACCTAGGTTCCTGGTTTGAGCGACTACATGGGTGGCAGGGTCAGTGACCAGCACAGGGAAAGCTGGAAGGGGCCTGGCTCCAAGGGAAAATCGTGGGTTCAGTGTCAACTGTGTGGTGTTTGAGGAAACTTTGAGATAATGCGTGGAAATACGTCAGAGAAATAGTGATTGTCTTGGACAAAAGGAAAAGTGGTCCTAGAGAGACAAGCTCTAACAGGTCAGTATGACACGGTTGGTGTGGATGGGACAGCGGGGAGCAGGGAGTGAGCACTGGCTTCCAGAACTCATGGGCTGGATAAAGCAGCAGCAAACCGGGACGGGGAGGAAGGAGGAGAAAGACAGGAAGAAATACAGGCAGTTCCTTGATTTCAGTTAATGCATGACAACTGCACTGCCATCACAGGACCAACTTTCCTGCCAGACCAGCCTTCGAGGAAGGTTTCCCTGCTGGAAACCCACGTCCCACACAGCACAGGTCTAGGGAGGGAACAGGAGTCAGCAGACAGAGGGGCTCGCACCACCCCAGCCCCTTCCCCAGGTCTTCTTCTCCCTCACCACCCTGTCATCTGGGTCCCCAGGCTTGTCTGCCCCACAATCATCTGGTCCCCCAACCATGCCCTTCCCAGCCCCATGTGCTGGGTGAGCTGTCCTGCAGGGGCGGGTGACATAATTCACACAGTGCTCCGCCCTGACAGGACCACCTGGAAACCACAGCATCTTTTCTTTAGTTTTTCAGGATCCACCCTTTTCATCATTTGCATCACCTGAGCCCAGCTGTCCTTCCTCCTGCCCCATTTCTATCCACCAATCTTCATTTCCTCAAAGCTCAGCTCAAAGGTGACTGTTTCCTTCCACTGAAAATTATGTTTCCCCCTTCCTGGGAACTACGGGCTTCTGTTTAGATCTCAACTACACCCTGAGTGTATTTGTGTCACTTATGTCATCTACGTGGCCATAATCCTGGGGGACACTTGTCCTGTTTTACTCATCTGTTTCCTCACAGGTTACTTGGGGACGCAGTGGTTTCACATTGGGTAATGGATCACCACTGTGGGAATGCCAGGTACTCCAGCAGAATTTCCAA